TGTGACAGATTGTTCAGTAATATAAGAGCATCATGTTACCATTACTGGCAATTATAACAGTGGTCATAACATTTGATGTCATGACAGCTTATTTTGCTAATTTTCACTCTGTGCTCTAGTTAGCCATCATGGCATAAAGCATCTGTCATGACAATTAACAGTAGAGATAATCTGACACGTTTTATTTTTTTTATTATTGGATATAATCTGTCATGACAATTAACAGTAGTGATAACCTGACACTGTTTTATTATTGGATATAATCTGTCATGACAACATTTGTCAGCATATAGCATCTGCCATGATATGTTTATGAAAAGGTTTTGTCAATGTTATGAAGCAGAGTTCAAGTGTGGCCTACGAATACTTAGTAGAACGTTGTAAAATTAAATCCAATAAATAAATAAATAAATAAATAACTGTTGTCCACAGTGATTAACAGTGCTGTAGATGATTCTAAAATAACTAGTTAAAGTTGTAATAAAATAAAAATCTATAATGTTACATCTAGAAGTGGAATACAGAAGTGACAATCACATCTCAAGGCAAATAACTTGACAAAAATGGTATAAATAAATGGTATATTATGGTGTATTATTTGTCCTTGAGTGACATCGTTGTTGCCAAAATACTAATTAAAACATGGAAAACTACCTTTTGTTGTTTTGTTGAGTATTTAAATGTGCATTCTTTAAGCTATTGTTTATAAAATGACCAAAAAGAATAATATGAAAAGTGATTCCAAATTTTTGAATGCTAATGTAGTTAATACAACATCTGCCTTCACAACAGAAAAAGAAGAAGGCCACAACATACAAATGAGCCTTTAACCAGTCACTGGATGTTTTATCATATAAGCATTTTGGCCAACATTGGCCAAAATTTGACAGATTTTGGTCGAATTTTGGTAAAAATGCAGTTCATAAGCATGTTTTCATTGTATCACAAGTCATATTACAGTCGCAGTATGTAGCAATATAATTGCAATATGGTATTTTGTCCTTATTGCATAGTACATGTTCAGTCATATTTGAATGTCTAACAAAATATATAGCCATTAATAATATGTAGTTTTGAAAGTAGATAACAACTGGAATGCCGGAATTCCTCTATGACTTGGTCATTAGTTTTTTCCTTCTCACTGTATGTTCTTCTTTACAGCCCTTTTTTCTAGCATTGCAATCAGTTTGATCTCTGTAGACACTATATTAAGGTCAGCAAATAGTGGCTGGTAAATAGTGGCTGGCATTATAATGTTGATTCCATGTTATTTTTTTCTGTTTTCTCAGAAGTGCAGGCTACTCTATCAAAACCAGGCTGTGGTGGTTTAAAACATTACCACTGAGACCCAGAACCAATTCAACACTCAGCTTGCATGAAGTGATTAGATCTAGAGTGAGTCCATGGTTTTGAGTGGGACCAATAATATGTTAGGGGAAAAAAGAGTGAGGAAAAGATGCAGAAATTCCACAGCACCACGCTCTGCCCTATTACCATTAACCTTCAGTCCACTGCTTACAAAAATCTTACTTAACATGTAATGATAAAAAGAAGCACAGAATTGAGATTTTAGATAGAGGATATAAGCTCTGTGCCAGTTTGTCACTTATTTTGGATTTAAGAACATTTTGCTCTCAGTTTGCTCGGCACAAACGAAAAATCCCATTGGGAAACTAGAGATTGACTTACTGAGCACAGTAATGCATGTGCACACACAGTCTGCCTTTATGCAAGCAGAAGATATGCCTGCAGAGTGAAATTGCTGTGATCTCATCCGTGTGATGGTACTTGATGCCTCGAGTTGAAGCAGCTTCACTCCAATAGAATGTGACTCATTAAAACTCCCTAATCAACATGCATATATATCATTTAAAGGGCTCGAACAGGAAGAGGTGTCCACAATGGCACCTTTCCATGTTCTTCAACTACAGACTTTTAAAATGGATTGTGCTTTCTTGTACAGTCCCTGAAGTTCTAGATATCTAGTGTGAGGTACAACCTCTGAAGTACTAGGTAATTATAACTGGCTAAAATGATAGGAAGTAACAAGACAGTGTAACTAAATAACACTGAAATAGCCAACATGGTTTAGCCATTATCCTAATTAAGAACATCTCATAGACAGAGCTGTTGGATATGAGAAGGTAGAAGCACAAACTTGCACTAAATTTCACTGAATTTTCACTGTTTAAGCAGGTACAAAGGTAGTTAAATGGGGAAAAAAGCCTGTTTATTGCCTATAAACAAAATTAAATGTCATATCTGGTAGGAATGTGTATAAATTTGACCGTGATAGTTTAACAACCTGACAAAAAAGCTTGATTTGCACTTAACTAACCAAAACTATTGTCATTATCATCCATAATACCAATAATAAGAATAAAAAGAAATAACAATACTCTATATAACAATTCTATATAACAAAAATAATAAAACAATGCTTATAATGTGTGCACATGGCAATCCAGTACAAAATTGGATATGCTTTTTTTACATGCACATTGATATAAACAAATGCTGCAACTGTTTCATGCTCCATTTAAAGACATATTAACACTGTGCTGTTGTTTTATGCTACTGACACCACCCAAAAAATAAACAATACAAAACACAGCCAGTGCAGAAGCATCTCATACATTGCAATAATGTAGCGTTTAAATGTTATTTTAGATAACAGTCACACCACACAAACACGTCATTCTACTATCGGAAAAAATAAAAATGCCATTTTGTTCACGTTCACGTTTCATTCTTTCCAGTCCTAATTTTAATAATATAAAGTTTGGTCGGTAGGGGGAGCAGTGCACTCGCTGCTAGACCTCAAACTCTGCCTACGAGCACAGCCATTGGCTCATGAGCCACTGAACGCTGTCATTTTATTCTGAAACATCTGCATGAATTAGGGTGTGTTTTATGCGAATGATATGCAAATGGGGTACTGTAAGCTAGCACTTGATTTCATGCACTGAAGCTGATTCGTCATTTGCGCTAAAGTCTCTGCATGTTTACACATTGTATGAAAGTGTCATGAATCAGACACAGAGTACTTTGCATGTCATTAAAATCAAATCTGTGTTCTTTTTATGCAACTTTGAAGAATAAGGGCCACTTGTTTTACCCCAAAGAACTTCAGAGTTTGTACATACCTCACACTTCCCCAGCCAATACTGCAAACCTGTCGGACATTTTGGTGTAATTTAGCTAAACTATCTTGGAACTCACTGCTATGTTAACATAGTTACTCAGTACTTGCTGTTTGTACCACATCCTTATCTAGTTAATACCTAAAACGTAAGGGACTGTAAAAGAAAGCGTTGTTGGACTAAACAGTCCATGTTATTTTTCCACTTCACAATGCTTGACAGCTGTGCCTTGTGGCATTTTACGTCCTAATTTGCATGCAGCTTTGAAAGTCAAATTAGAATCCAAAACATATATTTGTCGTTGCTGGCTTTGGTCACTGTTTTAGCTGACATACAAGCACACTGCACAAGTCATAATAATTGGCTCTAACATTTAACAACAGTTGAGATAATTTATGTGAAGCAAGACAAGAAACAATCCGAGTAATATTGTTATTAGTTCCCAACTACACCTACCTTCCACATCCAATAAAATGCTATGGCTGTCTTGCTCAGATGATGACACCTGATGCCAGATAATGCAAAATGCTTCCATAGAGACACAATAGATGGATGATAATCAAAGGTTTACATGAATGACATATGTTGATCAACATACCTTAGCCACAGCATTTTATGACTGATATTTAGGTCTGAAAGTTTGTATTGTGATAGTTGGCTTGATTCAAATTGTAGGAATTCTTTAAAACTTGGCTTAGTTTGGTAATGATCGGGTTATTGATTTTAGAATACTTCACTTAGAAATGAAATTTGGTAAATGTAGTAGTGACAAAATGTTGAAATACTGCCAGTTATAAATCTTGCTAGAACTGGAATTGTAATACAGAAGAAAAATATATTTATAGATAATAAAATTATAGAGTTATAAGATTTAATTTCAATATTTTGGTCAAAACAGCTGATTGGTGTCAATCAAGATGACAGTTGTGTTGTATTTCTGACATCTGAGAGCTGATTTTATCATTTTAGACCAGAGAAATTTATGGCTAAAGGGAAATGAGGCCAGTTTTGTGAAACAGAAACTTAATTTTAAAAAATGTTTCCTGATTCTTTGTACTTGTTGAAAATGAGTTGATTTGGAAGCTTTAAATGTAAAACTACAGAATGTACATTTGATTGCTATTATTTTTCATATCACCTCTTTGTTCCCTCAATATAGCCCATATTATATGATTTTCATCATAGCTATCTGTTTTTAGTTAATAAATAACCAGTTTGTATAATGAAGCTTGCACATTAGATATGGTAATTTTGGTAGCTTCATATTAGCATTAAATCGATAGTGCTCATTTTGCTAATACATCATCAACAGCATCCACACATGTGGCCTTGCTGAACCATCTCTGAACCATTAAATAGCTTCAAACTCATTGAGGCTGTTTATTTTAATTTCAAGTTAGTCTGCTATGTTTAGTGCATGGGTAGAACCTTGGTGTATACTTAAGGTTTGGAGCAAATTTGCTGCCCTAAGTGACGTGGACTGTAATTAAAGTTCGGTATGTGTGTGCGTTCATGTTCGGCTAAGTGCATGCATGTTGAGCCTGTGCGTACAAGTGCATATGTGGCCTGTGCAGCCATGCCGGTATGGCACTGTGTGCCTGGCACTGTCTCTGTGCTTCCTGCCCAATTTCATGTAGTAACAGGCAGCCCCAGTAGGGCCCATGTCACCCTCCGTATGCTAGATAGTTATTAGACACAACTCTCTCTGTGGTCGCCAGGCACATCAAACCCAGCACGTCGTTCAATCGACCTCATTTAACTTCTCTGCCGTATCCACTGATGTACCCTACTTCATCATGAGCCACACAAAAAACAAACATATGATCTTCATTAGATGAAAAAGATGGAGGCCACCTATTTGGTTTTATCCACTTTTATTTTGCAATATGACCAATAGTTTATCATATTCAAGTGTGTATGAAAAAAGTTAAGTCACTGGTTTATTCTTTTAAAAAGCTAAATACAATAAGCATTGGATCAAGGCACATACAAGACTGGCCAAAGGGCGTATATGCACTTTGGTCTTCAGTTGTAAAGAACAATTAACTTTCAGTTGTGGCAACGTAAAAGTGGCTTGAACTCTGGGGAAAAAAAAATACAGATAATAATTATAATATGAACAAAAATAGTTGACACTTCGTCTTCCAAGTAGAAAATGAACCCATCTTATTTATGCCCAGCTTATACTTATTTTCAAGTGCAACATTTACACTCACAATTGGTTCACTACTGAGAGATATCACCTCTGCGGTTTCTCCCTATCGACTGGAGCAAGTGAGATTGGGTTGTTGGCCTGTCTCTTCTAGTGTCACTAAGTAACAACCTCTCGTTATCTCTGTGCTTTGTTGGTCCTATGCCGGACAAGCTTACCCAACAAAGGAACAGCATGCTGGGCTCTGTGCTATGTTGCTACTTCTCCCAGGAACAAAAGAAAGCAGTTTATCTCCACAATCCAAGCATAGTGGAGACTTAATGCCTGGCAACACTGTAGAAATGTCAACTAAGATTTCTAACGAACTCTCGAGGTTTTGCGATACCGCAACACACCTATTCCTGCTGTCTTCTACCCATTTAATCAGCTGTGCCCTATATTCCCGTTGGCCGCATTTTTGCCTTTTATCTTTTTAACTGAGAGTCACGTAGTGAAAACTATGACCTGTGCTTATTCTACAAGGTTCTCTAAAATCTGATTGTTCAACACAGCAATGAAAACCCACTTTCACAGTTGACAAGTCATATCTCAGTAGAGCACAAAGATTTTAATTGGTCTGAAACCTTAAGCAAAGGATGTACAGTACAAATTACTACAAACCTCTAAAATATAGAATTGCAGTTGTTGACAGCACACACTGAAGGCTCAGTGATGGCCTGCAATTTTAGCCTTTTTTTTTCTTTTAATAAACTGTCCTTAAATATAAATTATATGGCAAATGTACAGAACATTGCTTTCTCAGTCTTTTCAATCCAGTGTTTTGTAAAAGACCGGCCAGTCCTGGAGTCAGTCATTCGTAACAAAATGTCTTTTAAACCTCCACACACTATCATGAATGGGAGTGGTCCGAGTCTGGTATTCCACTGTCTCTGTAGCTTCTGTTGTTGATACTGTTTTCACTGTGTGGGCTCTTGTAAAGGTTTAAACCATTAGGTGGGAAAATTGTGTGTATTACAAACTCTTCCTTGGACATGGGCATGTGATTTATGGGTATCATTTGAAAAGAAGCCTCTCTAATCTCCAAGATGGAATTGTCCTTCTTTGTTCCGGCCTCAGCGTAGTCATCCTTCCTCCTGCGCCCTTTATTGTACGTGCAATTCCTGGAAAATAAAGAACCATTCCTGTGGACGTACCAGCACACCAGCGCCAGCATTATTATGGCCAAGAGTGCTACGGCCCCTCCAATAATAGCAGCTAAAGGCAAACTTGAATTTTTGTACGGCTCCTTCTCTTGCTCCCTGTTCAAGGTTGTAGTGGGGTTGTATGCTTTTAGGGAGCCGGTTTCCGTCTCTATGCAAACGGGCGTCTCATCTGACAGGTAAATATTGCTGGTCTCCATAGGAACCATGCATATCCGATAGGAGGACTCAGGCTCCAGAGCTGTAAGCAGGTACTCCGTTCTGTCCCCTTGTACAATGGTCTCCGTGATGGATCCAAATGCAGGGCTGTGCCCCAGCTTCAACCAGCTGAGGCGCAGGGCGGTCATGGGCTGAGATACTCTCCAGGATATGTGCACAGTATCTGGACTACTGGATTTCACACTGATTGTGATAATCTTACGACTCGGTGGCGTAGTGCTGCGGTAGTTTTTACCAAAATCTGGACCCTTAATCACTGGTCTTTTAGTCACATACAGAGGCCACTGAGGTCGAGAAGGTGGCAGTGTGTTGGAGACTGTGCTGGTTTCATATGTGGGCGAGACCTCTGTTTCAGAGCAGTCAAAGAGCTCTGTAGATAGATCCTTGATGGCCATCCCTTTGACCTTATCAGGGCCTTGGCACATGAAGCCACGCACATTGACCTTACCTGGCAATGAGCGCAGCCAGTCACGCACCCACTTCATTCTGCAGTTGCAGTACCATGGGTTGTTGCGCAGCAGCAGCTGGGTCAGGTTATCTAGGTCATCAAAGACCCCCATAGGCAGACTGGTCAATTTGTTGCCTGACAGATCCAGGCGGTACAGCTGTCGCAGGAAAGCAAAAGCACCTGCTGGCACCCGGTCTATGTGGTTGTCCTGGAGCTGTAACTTCTCAAGGCTGTTGCCTGGCAAGTTGGCAGGTGGGGATGTAAGGGAGTTCCGCACCAGTGAGAGCTCAGTCAAGTTGATCAAATTCACAAAGGCCATTTCCCCGATGCCCCTGTTATTCAGGAGGTTGCCGTCCAGCACTAGGCGTTTCAGGTTTATAAGATCTTGCAGGGACACCTCAGAAATGGAGGAGATGCGGTTGTCATCGAAACGAAGCTCCTCAATGGTCATGGGCAGACCTGCGGGGATGGTGCTCAGGTGATTGCGTGAAAGGAAGAGCAACCTCAAATGGTTGCTGTCCCGGAACGCTCCCTCCTCAATGCTGACAGCCGACACCGAGTTGTCGTCCAGGTGTAATTCCTCAATGAAAGGAATCTGCGCCAAAGACGCGTGAGTGATAGTCCGGATGTTGTTCTCCTGCAGATGGAGTTCCTTGACATTCAGAGGAAGATTGGTGGGAAACTCATCCAAGTTGTTGCAGTACAGGTAGATCTTTTCCACGCTGTTGAGCCTCCGCAGATCAGCAGGAATGCCTGCGCTCTTAATTCGGTTGTTCTGCAGGAAGAGAACTGTGGCATCCTCTGGGATGCCTGAAGGGATGGAAGTCAGCTCCCGGTCATTGCAGTAGATGAAAGTCCCATCACAGCGGCACTGTGATGGACAGGAAGCTGAGGTCACTAGCGGATTGGCTAGGCCCAGGAGAAGCCCAGCTCTGACGAAGAAGACGAAGAAAGACTTGTATTGGCATGCCATTGTTAATGTCCTCTGTTTGGTTGTCCCCCCTGGAGAAAAAAGGGAAAAAAAATCAGAAGGCGTTCTGAAGGAAAGGCAAAGTCCTTCTGTAAATAATTGCAGTCTGTGCGCATTCTGCCTCAAGCACCTTTTCATGCTAAATGATAAAATTTAAGACAAATGTTACACCATTACGGCAGCTGAATTAGTGAGAAATGACTGAGGTTTCCAAATGAAAAACAACATGCCTTCTTCATCTTCACTGAAATTCGGTATACCCTCCCAAAAAACATAGAGAAAGGGGAAATGAGAACTATGTAGGAGTTTCAAAATAAGTCTAATTAAAGTGGAAGTCTATTCCCAATCAGCCATGGATGTAGATAACAAATCCTTAAACCCACAAGCTTTCCTTGAATGAAATGCCTGTGCGACTGGTTTTATCTTTTACTCTGTGTAATGCAATAGAAGGTCCTTGTTGCTGTACAAATTTCTGCACTGAGCCACTGCATTTCAAAGCTGTCTTTCATAGTAGCAGACTGTGCCGGATGAACGAACGTGGATCTTTTTTTATTAACTGTTGAAAAACCTCCTCCTTTTCTTTCTTCCCCTGAGGATTTTTGTCCTTGTAGGATATACTAGATCAGACCTAATTTATAAAAACTGTGAAACCTCATCAATCTACAAAGGGATCCCTGCTGTATTCTTAGAAATAATCAGTATCGAGCTGAACTAAAAATAATCAGTATTCCTAATGCTAAATATATCATTTAGGATAAGTTCTCTGGGCTGTAGTTTGGCTAGCTTTTTTTTAGTGTTATCTGTGGTTTGTGAGCTCATTTCAGTTTTTGCGATTGAATGGTTTTGGGAATGACTGTTTTCACTTTTGGCCTAGGCGTTTTATTCAGTGACATTTGCATCAGGGATTTACCACAGTGCAAATAAACAAAGTTTTATATGCCTATTTAGGGAATAAGGCTTCAATCTGTGCACAACAAAGATTCTAAGAAAACATTCTGACAGCCATGAAATGGATGAGTGATGGAGCTTTTACAGATTACAGCATTAATTAAAATCGAAGGCTTTCTGTTTCAGTCTACTCCTTATTTTTTCAGTCTTAAAACAAGGGTTCAGCATTTCTTTTGGTAAATTATCAGAAGCTGCTAGAATGCACGTGTTGCATTAGACTCTGTGGAATAGTCCAAACAGCTGTCTGGTTAATTAGATGTGGAACATGATGACCAAAATAATCCCTGGCACGAGTACAAATGACAAGCAATAAATAAATACACTATGTGCTTTGCTGTAGAACTTGATGCACAAACTATTTTGTCAACACAGTATGCTTTTGTTTTTAATTATTTGTAATACTGATTCATCTTTTCATTTAATATAATCTCCTTTTCTGCACACATCTTCCTAAATATCTGAATGGTCACTTGAGTAATGGGAGCACAGCCATCCATATTTGTCATACCTAATTTAGAAGAGCCAGTAAATCCTCTGCTTCCACCCAGAAATCCAATGATGCTTTAAGCTCCTCTTTCTTTTTGCTGTCTCAAATTTTTTCTTGAAGCCGTCGGAGTCTCTTTGGTTATATCCTGACCCAATTGGTATTTGCCGAACTGATCCTTGTTTGTACTGCTGACCTCCTGCCTTGTAGCACAGTGTCCAACAGTTCATGCCATCAAAGGATTTGTGGCAGATAAACCTATAAAGAAAGAAGCGGCTCCAGTTTGACTTGGGCCTCAAGCGCAGTGCTCCAGAGCAGGCATGCAGTTCGGATAATTAAAAAAAAGAAAAAAGAAAAGGGAAAAAAACAGACAGAAGGAAAGTCCGGTGCGTGGAGAATCCTTTTACTTTGTGGCGCAGCGGCTGTGACCCCTAATTAGACCCTTTTGTGAGTGTGGAAGACTCCTCTGTGGGAAGGGAATGGCTCCTGTCTGTCCTGCGGCAGACTGGACATGGCATCGAGAGCCCAGCCGCCCAGTGCCCGCGTAGTCTGCAAGTAAGGCAGGCTCAGATCCAGGGCGGCTCCGTTCTGAAGCCTCGCCTTACGTTTTGTCCCAAATCGTGCTCCTCCACTCCTGGCAGAGGCATGAATAATGTATCCAACTTGCTCTCCCGTCTCGGGAACCTGCCCTCACACCGACAGACACTTACTCCCTCTCATGCGTCTTTCTCCTACAATTCAAAGAGAGAAGAATTAGTGTTTAGTCACGTCTACAAGTGTACAAAGCCAGTATGGAAAATCCTTTTGAAATCATGTGAAAATTGAAATTTGCATTGGTCCAGGCCAAGCAGAGTACCGTGTGGCCTTGTAGGGGAGCTACTGGCTATGCACGAGTGCACGAGCGCCAGGGCTGAGACTGACAGCATCCAAGACAAACGGTAATTGGCTGCTGTCCTTCGAACATAGTTTTCAAGCCATCAACACTACAGTGCTTGCCATAAACAAATTGTTCATACAAAAAAAATTAAAATCAGGTAGCCACACAGCTATATTTCTCACTTAATCATTTTGTCTTAATAAGGCACTTTTAATTTTTGGAAAAAAAATTTTGGACGATGCAGGAAAAGTAAGCTACACATAAATGTACTCACAATATCAGATGGTAAGAGGATCTCTACAGCTTATTAGGTTTCTAGTTTTCTCTTTGATGACATGCATCCTTTCTGAAACCCAGTGTGGAGGCTTTTGAGGGTTTAACAAGAAAAACAACACCAAGAACAACAACAAATATCGTTCTTCCGCATCACCAGCCTCTGCCGCCATGATTGTGTTCAGTGACCTGTCAGCCTGCGACCCCAACAACCCCTCCACTGCCTTCTCTAAGGAGACGGGGGAAAAGAATGCCTTTGCATTCGAAAAGCTACAGTGGTTGAGGCCCTGTCACAATGGGGGGGGCTGCTGCCTCCTGCCTGGCTCAGTGCTTCTGATGCTTTCAGGTTTCAAAGTGGCTGGTGTAGCGTTAAAACAAGAAGACACTCCGAAAAGTTGAGCGAGAGTGGAAGTGAGGGGCTGCACTCAACATATAACTCTGAAGGCACTCCAGACCCTTCTGCCTGGCCCAGCAGCGCAGGATAAAACGCCCTTATGCTGCTCAAAAATGTATATGGCAGATGATCCGGAGCTCATCTTAGGAGTACTCATGAATATCCGAGTAGGAGGCTCCTTGTCCGTGTCACCTCCGGTGCACCCGCGCGAATCCCTACCTCCTTTCCCCTCCTGCCGCACCTTTGCCTGGCCTACTTCCCACACCACCAACACTACTTCCCCCAGCACATGGGTAAAAATAGACCTCTCCCCCCACCAAACCAAATGATACGCTACAATCCAGAACACAATGGCTTGTGCCCTTGCCCGAAACCCTCCCCAGCAGCCTTCTCATGGTAACCTGTGTTCTGTAAAACACGAGAGAGCACAGCTACAAGCATCTCAGACACTTAACTATTGTAACCGATGACATGGAGAAGATTAGGGAATTGAGAGCCTTGTAACTCAATTTACAAGCCTGGGCCTATGCTGTCTGATAACACCCAGTCTTTCTATTGTGCCAAAGCAGAGCCATGAGCCTAATATCGTATAGATTAGAGTGGACTTGCAACAGCAGATGTGACCTTACTTTAGGAAAGAAGGGTGATGTAACAGAGAGTTTTTGCGCAGACTGTGCAAAGCTTTGTATTTAAGATTCTTATTCTCTGCTTATAACCCTAAAACCCATTTTAGCAGCCTTGATAAACATAAAACCAGGAAAAATACAATATGTGGATAAACAGTACAGGAAAAAGTAATCATGAGAAATGAACTTTATGAAAGGTTGTTTAAAAAAAACATGTTTTCTGAGTGGATATGTGGTTTGTAATTTGATTTGCCACAAAATGCCCCTTTTTACTGTTCTGAAAAGCAGTACTATTGATTCGTGCAGTAAAAAATGAAAAGGGGAACGTGTACCATTTCCAAACATTCCCCCTATGAGCCTTGACAAGGCCATGCCACTACTCATGCTTACTCCCCAGAATTATGATCATCTTCAAAGTCACTGCATTTCAGACCAACCAACAGGCGAGACTGTGGCATATTTTGGCTGCCTCAGAGTCCCTCTGTCAAAAGCAGCCAGCGTGGTAATAGCCTGGCGCTCATGGTAATCGTTCACTGCTCCTTCAGTGAGGCAAGGCCAAATGACTGGCCTGAGGTCTTTCTGAAAGTGTGGACAGTGTTTAAGAAGCACTCTGCCCTTTTCTTGGGCACAGTTGCTGGGAATATGAATAGTTAGTTTGCAGAGAGTTACCAGAGGGGGAAAAAGAGTGGAGGCAGCTCTGTTTGTTGGCACTCTTCTTAACCAGGCAGTACCTGCTGAGTTGATGGGGTGTGCTAATGCTAACCATTACTGTGCTTGACCTAACATGACTGCCCAAAGCTCAGTGGATTTCACCTAAGTAGCCTCATTGTATTGTTCATTATTAGGGCTCAGAAATCTAACCCCCACCCACCCACTTCTCTTTGCTTATCTCATTTTGCTGTATTTTATCACATTTTTCACGTGATTAAACTTTTCAAAACTTTCCGAATGTCCTCTTTGTCTAACTCGCTCTTTTTAAGGGGAGAGAATGGTATGTAGAGGCCTAAGTGATAGACACTTCTCCCTATCGTTCTAATAGGCTGCCTTTTCTTTGGCCAGACCTGCTTCTGCTCTACTGCTCTTCACAAGTGATGTTAAATTGAGCATCCTGGTTTAAAAAAGAAAAAAAATCGCCTTAGCCACCACTACCTTTTTTTTAGCATTTGAGAAGAGCTCAGTGCCAGTTAGTGATGGCTACAGGGAATCCACTATGGGTTCATTTGTTCATTTAATAACTTCAATTATAAATTACATCAAAAGCAGCAAGAGTGGTATCAGTTATGTGCTCACATTGCGTGCCGTAGTGCGGTCTACAGTGCTGGTTTAACACATTACATAACCATCATCCTCAAAAAAAAAATGCAAATGTTAAATGTTTGTTGGTCATTTTTCAAGTTATTTATTATTAGAAATTTTACATCCTATTTAGGGCCTAAACTTTTCACATTATCTCAGTACCTGCACAGCTAAGAAATAGCCAGCATAACGTATCGAAGGATACATGTTTATTTTCATTTATTTCATTCTGAGGCCTTTATTGTTTATTCAAATTTCAAGTGTGTCGTCCTATTTAGGGCCTGTAATTTGCACTTCTACGTAGTACCTTTATGCCAGTAACTTTGAGTTGTTTATTATGGTTGTTTATTATTAAAATTATTATCATTAATTTCGAATTGTATTTAGGGCCTACAGTTTGTCAGATGTACTAAGTACCCTTATATAAGTAATTCAGACCTTACTGTTGTTTATTATAATTATTATTATTATACATTTCAAGTCCTTTTTAGGGCCTACAGTCACATTTATGCAGTACCCTTACAGTTAGGAAATAACTTGGATAATCACAAGACAAATATTTATTCAATGTATTCCAGCCTTCATTTGCCTGTCTCAGGCCAGGATTAAGAAAAGACACCTCTTATTCAACGGATAATGGATTCTGGACCCCATGCGAGCGTTAAACCAAACGCCTCTCTTTGTCATATTGTATCTTATATCTTAGACTAGGGCAAGGCTGATGTCTAGCGTTCAAGCAGACGTGTTTTTTATCTGTACATTTGGAAATTGAAGGAACGGTTTAAACAGGGTTTAACTGCTCATTTAAAAGCAGACCGGGGATAATTTGGAAGCCCCAGGTTTGTCTCTGGCTGGGGCTCAGGCGTTGGGAGAAGAGCTTGAGAGAGACGGGGGGTCTTTTTCCTTTTGTAAACCACTGAAAAGGAGAAAGCGGTACGTGGCAGCTGCGCTGCTTTTCCCCACTTGGGGGTGGTAGGCTCGCCTGCATCAGGCCTGTGTCTCTCCGCACACACTCTCTCCAACACGCACGCACACACACACTCACTGAGCTGGTGCTTTAATTACCACATGCGCACCCCCTGCCAGGGTACAGAGGATAGCCGCCACTGGACAAGGGCAGAAAGGCCTGGGTTGATTTACTACACTGTACATTTTTTGTTTTTGTCCATGAAGGAAGCAAATTGCTTCTTGTAAACCTAAAACTAATTTTCTTATTTCTTTTTTTTTTTTTATCTTATCAACTGGTACTCATTCGAAGGACTGCTTTCAGAACTTCTCACAATGGCAAAATATAACACACTGTAAAGCATGGACCAAAACAAAGTGCTTTTCCAATGTACATGTACTATTGTGCCCTGCGACAAAGGTTAGCTACTGACATTGAGCTATGAAATGTTTTTGTCTGCGACACAAAAGGGCGACAGACTTCTCTGGAGGCCCGAAAAAACATGACCACTTCATGTCGCAGTGAATGCCATGGGCCACCGTGTTTAGCCTTCAGCCTCCAGCCTGTGCCAACAAAAGAGGAACAAATTTGCCGTATGGCTGCCATCAAAGTGTCTTACACAGTGTCCTTCAGTGTTTCAATTCAGGAGGTTTTAGTAGGTGATGATGATGTTTTAGGAGGTGCAGATGCATCTCTTTTCTGACTAGACTGGACTCTTATAAGGGATTTGTTAACTTTGGAGCTCAGCCTTAATGCTGTGTATGAGCACAAGTTGGTGTTTATTCTGGCAAAAAAAAAAGAGAAGTCTCAGTTCTCTAATTCCATTTCAGTAAGTAACAGAGTACATGCGTAGGTCAAATAACTACGTTTTTTCTAAGCAAACATACTTTACTCAGTATATATATATATATA